CTTTCCTGAGTGTTCTGGAAAGTGAGTACAAATCCAGCATTCGCTCAGATTGGCCACTCTGGAAAGTGGTCTCGTAAGGCTAACATGGACATTGAGTTCCCAGAGGATTTCCAAACTTGTCTCTGTTGCCCACATTAGTTTCCATATTTTCATTAGCATACATCCAAATTTATCAACCATCACATGTTTGTACAATACACTATCGTTTTCCTAAATATCTAAAATATTTCTAAAACTGAAGCACTTATCTAATCACAGAAATATCTTTTTTTATTGTTCCTAATAAGGTGGTGAAATTGGATTGGAGATCCAATCTTTTGAAGACTGGCAGCATGGAAGAGATGTAGAGTGCTATTTGCAGTTCTAAGCTGGACAATCTGCTTTGACTCCAGGGTGTTTGATCTTTTTCTAGCTAGAAAAAAGTTTTGAAAAATTATCCTGATTATTCCCCATTACATCAAATAATTTTTTTATCATATTTGCTCACTGAAAATATAATTTCCCTTTATTTAGTCTGTCTAAAGTTTTCAGGGTTTTTTGCCTTATGCAGTAATGTATCTACTCAACAGCCTCAAGGAATCACAGAATAATTTATGTTGGAAGGGACATTTGAAGGTTATCTAGTGCAACTCCCTGCTCAAAGGAGGTCCAAGTTGATGAGGTTCCTCAGAAACTTCAGTTCAAAGGTATTTTGCACATTACAATCTGTAATTTCAAACCGAGTATTCAAATTGTATTCAGTTCAATATGCCTTCAAATTAGGCAGGTTATTTTTGGCTTTTGTACCATATAGAAAACAGAAAATTATGTGACTAGACTAAAATAAAAACATCTCACAGTAGAAAGTCATGAATCAAGAAACTCTAAACTGCTGAAACTTTTTTTATCCTTGGTAATTTGGATTAGAAAAACAACAGTATGCAATTACTGTGCTTTCCCTTTAAAGTTGTAGTGCATATAATTAAATGTTATAGCAAAAGAAATTTAATGAAGCTCTACTGCTGGAAGACACTAATACTCTCTGATACTTGACAGGAAAATACAAGCAGCAATACTGCTTAATCTATAATTCAAGAGCTAACAACCATTCCTCTCAAACCAGAATCAGAGGATGTTTAGGGATTAAGTGCAACTATCCTTTTCCTCAGCTTCAGCTAAGAGATTAGCAGATTGAGGTTTTGGAACATACTGACTAAATATTCTAGCAGGAAAATGCATGAAAACACAATTTTGATAATATAAATTATAACAGAAATACAGGCTGTCTTGAGGTGATTATACAAGACAAATTAAGGAACTGCTCAAAGAGGAAAGGGTATCCTAAAAACAACAACAAAATCTCAATTGGCTTCAAAAAGAAGTCACTGCTCTAGCTAACTCTCTCCAGAACAAGATTACTTCACTGCTATAAGGACATTTTCTTAGAGTTAATTTTTATATCAGTTCTTTAATTTCATACGAGATTGTTAAATGTACATTTACGGCATCAAGATGGTAGAGTCCTGTGATAAGTAATGAAGGTTTAGTGAACCTCTTTGGAAATCAGCCAAGATGGGAAGAGGAGGCTGAAAGGAGGCTGGTGAAGCTATTCCTAGAAAAGGAGAGAGAAGAGTCCAGATAACACAACAGGCAGCTCAGAGAAACCATTAATTGCCAGAGTCCTGATAAGAATGTGCTTCTGCTGTAATATAAGCCAGAGTAACAAAGGTGAATTACTGTTTCTCAGGTTTTCAGTGTTTAATGAAGAGTGAAAATATTCTAAGGTTACTTCCAGCAGTATTTATCTCCTCATTTTTAAATTCAAAATCTAAATTTGTTTAAAATAGCACACATGTAGAGATGCTATTTCCATGGATGCTTCCATACCAACTTCTACCTGCACCTGTTTCGCGACGCGCTGAGCAATATGGAGCCTTTCTCTCTCTGTACGACTGAATGTATTTTGTCCTGCTATGCCCAGTTTGCAGTCATCTTGGTGGACTTTCAGTATTTTGCGCAGTCACTTGATGTTTACAATCTCCTGGCAATTCTAAATTGTGCATTCAGTCTCCCTTTTGTACTTCAGGTTAAAGCTTGACACCAAAGTACGTAACTAGTTGGTGGGGTGGTTTTTTTGCTTTTGCAGAAAAGCACGTAATTCAAAACCTGTTGCAAACTTTAGAATAATGAGTTAAACGTAACCTAAAAATTCAAGTTCAGTTCATCTATGAGATATATTTCAGGCAAGACTGAGGATTTTATCTTTTATCTGTTTCCTGTTAGCAATTCACAGAATCACAGAATGTTAGGATTTGGAAGGGACCTCAAAAGATCATCCAGTCCAACCCCCCTGCTGGAGCAGGATCACCCAGACCAGGTCACATAGGAACATGTCCAGACAGGTTTTGAATGTCTCCACTCTCCAGAGAAGGAGACTCCACAACCCCTCTGGGCAGCCTGGTCCATGCTCTGGCACCCTTACAGTAAAAAAGTTTTCCTTATGTTCAGATTGAACCTCCTATGCTCCAGCTTGCTCCCATTGCCCCTTGTCCTATCATTGAACATCACTGAGAAGAGCCTGGCTCCTTCCTCCTGACACTTGCCCTTTACAAATTTATAAACATTAATGAGGTCACCCCTCAGTCTCCTCCAAGCTAAAGAGACCCAGCTTCCTCAGCTGTTCCTCATAAGGGAGATGCTCCACTCCCTCCATCATCTTTGTGGCTCTGTGCTGGACTCTTTCAAGCAATTCCCTGTCCTTCCTGAACTGAGGGCCCCAGAACTGAACACAATATTCCAGATGTGGTCTCACCAGGGCAGAGCAGAGGGGAAGGAGAAACTCTCTCAACCTACAACCACACCCCTTCTAAGGCACCCCAGGATGCCAGTGGCCTTCTTGACCCCAAGGGCACAGTGCTGGCTCATGGTCATCCTGCTGTCCACCAACACCCCCAAGTCCTTTTCTGCCTGGCAGCTCCAGCCACTCGTCCCCAAGTCTGTAGCGCTGCATGGGGTTATTGCGCCCGAAGTGCAGTACCCTGCATTTGGCCTTGTTGAAACTCATACATTTGGCCTCAGCCCATTGATTCAGCCTATCCAGGTCCCTCTGCAGAGCCTTCCTACCCTCAGGCAGATCACCACTTCCCACCTAACTTAGTGTCATAACTTACTGAGTTAACTTACTGAGGGAGCACTCCATCCCCACATCCAGATCACTGATAAACATGTTTATGTAGACATTTTATATGTAACATTTATATGTAGACAGTTACTTTCTTAAATCCAGCTGTTTGTTTTGAAAAGCATTAACCTAATTCTGGTCCTTCGGAATCTGTATCACTAGTTTCAGAAAGAGGTGTTCAGCTTGAATCTAGCAGCAGGGACTAGCTGCTCTGTTCTTGGTGCACGACAAAAGGTTCTCAGAAGCTGCTCCTCAGCCACTGCCAGGTCCCGGCCAAAGTGGGCCTCACAGCCAGCATTCATTTTAGGCGAACAGGCGCTGCTGCATCCCGGCCGTGCAGCCACCAACGCGACTTCTTCACTCGGGGTTCCTGTGCGCTGAACAACGCCGTGGTTATTTCTCAGCTTCTCCGTTCATGGGGAGGCAGAAGCGAAGTGCTCGCTCCTCGGCTCCAGCTGCGCCCTGGCCTCACTACACTAAAGGTGACTGATGGGTCTGAGCTCCAGATTTGCCAAATCGCTGGCTTAGTATCTCGTGTTATGGTGGCAGCAGCTGTCCCCTCGCCTTCCCGGGCCCGCAGTTCCCCTCAGGCGCCGCTCGGCTCTGGGCAGCCCCGCGGCTGAGGTGAGCTTTGGACAAGGAACAGAGCGGCTCTCGGTGGCTCAGAAGCGGAAGGGACGAGCTGACGGGGTCAAACCGCTCCGGCAGACAGAGGAAGGAATGAGAACCACAGGGACGAACCACGGGAAGGGGTCAGATCCCGCGAGAACGGGACACCCAAGCCCCTTCTCCTTCTCTCCCGCCCCCCCCGTGCGCTACCACGCTCTCCAGCGGGGATTGGTCGGCTCGGCCCCGGAAGGCGAATCAGTCACTTCCGCCGAGTCCGCCATCTTGTCAGCGGGTGGC